CATTGATGGGAAGGATAAATCAGGAATCCAGAGAGAACAATGCTACCTTACATATCCATTCAAGTTGCGCAAAAGATGTTTTCTGCCTTAACGTCACCGATTTGTTTGCATAGATGTAAATAGAACAATTATTTAAATGTCTCAACAATCAGATTAACCTTTGAGTGAGGAGCTCCCCATATTATTATGAAGCATTCTAAATGTTCCACTAAAAAAACTTCTCTTCAACTGAGAATATACTACTCTATTTTTTGATTCTTGTAATTTGTTTTTAACTTTGAGGACACAGGTAAAGTATATGCCATTGTATTAATTCACAAAAAAGTGTTAAGAGACCAAATCCTGATATCTTTACAATGATTGAGAAATTTGCTTATCTTGCACTGTACCTTCTAACACAAGACAAAAACCAAATTCAGTCTTGCTTACCTAAATGTCACTGAAGTTCAGTTAGTAGCAAAACTTAATAAAGCATGCTAGTTATATAAAAAAATATTCTTGCTTTTAAAAATACACATTAAATGCTATTTATCTGACTATTCACTGTTTAACAATTTCACTTAGTCTGCATATGTGTTTGCACAATAACAAGCTGTGCTCAGCAGCCACTGAAGTCAGTGGGTGTCAGCTGGTGTTCATAGGTATTGGAGCAGATTATAAAGCTACCTTTAATTATGTAAATTCTATTACTTAACTAACACTTATTCTTTAGCTTAAGTAGCAGATACTTGTATTCCGTATCTGACCCTTCAACCACTTACATAGTGGGACCATTATGCAAACGGTCCCTTTGAATTCATATCATGTGCAAAGGTAGAGATAAAAATCATCAGTAGGAACAGTAGATGTGCTTCAAACTTAGCAAGAAAACACATTCCAGTTTGTATCAAAGACGACAAGAAGGTGGTATTTTTCCAGAAAAAATATGGTAATATTTATTCATATAATTTCAGTTTTGAAAGGCTTAAGTAAACTGATTATAAGTATGAAAGGCAAACATCAGTATTTATCTGCAAAGCATCCATAATCTTCCTTTCTAAGCACACTTCAAAGTTTGACTAGGTAATTGGAATATACCAAGAAAGCAACATCAGTTAATTATCCTTACAGAATAGGAACAAGAAAAATAAAAATATTCAAGCCCAAAAACATGTCATTCTAACCCAATTTATGATGTGGTATGTAGAGTGGCACAAACTAGCTCTAAAGAAATTTAGAAGTTGGTTGTTATTTCCTTGCAAACCTTTGTGGTGGGTTTGATGCCAGGTGCCCACAAAAGCTGCTCTATCACTCCCCTCCTCAGCTGGACAGGGGAGAGAAAATAAAACAAAAAGCTCCTGGGTCAAGATAAGGAGAGGGAGAGATCATTCACCAATTACTGTCATAGGCAACACAAACTTGACTTGGGGAAATTAGCTTAATTTATTACCAATCAAATCAGAGTAGGGTAATGAGAAATAAAACCAAATCATAAAAACACTTTCCCCCCACCCCTCCCTTCTTCCCACGCTCAACTTCATTCCCAACTTCCCTACCTCTTCCCGCTAAGCAGCACAAGGGGACGGGGAGTAGGGGTTGTGGCCAGTTCATCACACGTTGCCTCTGCCACTCCTTCCTTCCCACGGAAGGGCTCTTCACACTCTTCCCCTGCTCCAGCGTGGGGTCCCTGCCACGGGAGACAGTCTTCCATGAACTTCTCCAATATGGGTCCTTCCCACGGGCTACAGTTTTTCATGAACTGCTCCAGCGTGGGTAACTCCCACGGGATGCAGCCCTTCAGGAGCAGCCTGCTCCAGCATGGGTCCCCCACGGGGTCACAAGTCCTGCTGGCAAACCTGCTCCAGCATGGGCTCCTCTTTCTCCACAGGGCCACAGGTCCTGCCAGGAGCCTGCTCCAGTGTGGGCTTCCCAGGGGGTCACAGCCTCCTTTGGGCACGTCCCCCTGCTCCAGCGTGGGGTCCTCCATGGGCTGCAGGTGGATATCTGCTCCACTATGGACCTCCATAGGCTGCAGGGGGACGGCTGCCTCACCATTGGCTGGCGGGCCTGCCTCACCATTGGCTGCAGGGGAATCTCTGCTCCAGTGCCTGGAGCACCTCCTCCCTCTCCTTCTGCACTGACCTTGGTGTCTGCAGAGTTGTTCCCCTCACATAGTCTCACTCCTCTCTTCCAGCTGCTGTTGCACAGCATGTTTTTTGTTTCCCCCTTGTTAAATATGTTATCCCAGAAGCGCTACCACCGTCACTGATGGGCTCCGCCTTGGCCAGCGATGGGTCTCTCTTGGAGCCGGCTGGCATTGGCTCTATTGGACATGGTGGGAAGCTTCTAGCAGCTTCTCACAGAAGCCACCCCTGTAGCTCCCCTGCTACCAAAACCTTGCCATGCAAACCTAATACCCCTTTTTATTTCTCAATGCTGCATTGAAATGCAAGAGAACATTCATTATCATTATTTCTCTCAAACCACTGAGACTGTTAAACTTGAATGAAGTTGTTCTGACATGACACTATCTAATAATAAGAATGAACATTAACAAAACAGAAGCTGCTAAGTAGAGTTTGGCAGAGCTCGTAAAAAGGAAAAGGGGCATGACAATCTGCTTTACGAGTTTCATAGCCACCATACAATTTAACTTACAAAAGTTTTGGTGTTAAAAAAAGAATTTTTTTAAAATTAAACTCATGAAGAACACACAGCTTAACAATTGACATAGCAGATTATGGCAGTGACATACAAAGCTTTGCAGATGTTTACTACAACAGTAAACTTACTTACAAAAGACAAGCATTAGTAGTATACTTAAACCTCCTAGAGCTTATAATGCTGAGCAGCAACACTTCCCCGTCCCTCCCCCAGTACATCTTTCATGTGGAATGTTCTAATTTTGCCAGTGACAACTCTTAGGAAGCAAATTCAAAACTATTTATTTAGTAGCTTCTAAAGAAACAAAATTAATTCAAACAGTAACCTGGACTGAAGGAGTTAAAACAAAGGAGGAATTTTAACCGTGTTTTTTCTTATGTTAACAATTCAATATTTATTATATGTGGTATGCCAGAATTTTAAAATGGAAGCTATTTTCACAATCGAAAATGCAAATAGTACTGTTAAGTTTGGCATCAAAGTATATGAAGTGAAAAAACCCTCTAGTGTACCCATCTAAAAAAATATAATTCCATTTGAATACAAAATGAGAACTGTCATTTCATTATTATTGACAAAACAGACAAAAGGAAGTTTGTTCTGTGGAACAGGTTTGTCTGATACAAATGATACAAAAATTTTCCACGTGTATATGATGAAAAAGATCCGACTTAAGCACCAGCTATCTGAAGGATTTTAACACTGTATTGCAAAATGACTGGAGAGCAATGTTTTAACTGGTTTTGAAAATAAGCCTCAGTCAGATGTAGTTTTAAAATATTTACATTTCAATACAGATACAATACATAACTTTATCAAAACAATGTATAATCTGCTGGAGTATATAAAAAAAATATTCCCAGCTTAAACTGTTTACAAAAATGCACCAACAGTGAAAAGAGTTAGGAACTATGAGTTTTTCAAGAGTAGTCCCAGTTCAAACATAAAACACACATCCAGCATTAGAGTCAGTATTGATCTTCTCATCTGTAAAAATGTAAGAAGTTTTTAATTGTCAATATGTGCTTCAATATAGTTCATTCTGTATGATTTTAAAATGATTTAAAATTGACAAGATGAAGAAAAACAACTATTGTACATGTACAGAAACACTAGACTTCAGTATCATCCATCCCTCTTCTTCACTAAAAACCTGAAATTTGGCCCTGATGTAGGAAAGTGTTTAAGCAACTGACCAATGTTTACACTGCACTGAAGTCAGTAGATACACGTTAGCCATACATATGTAACTAGGCACATGCTTGTATGAATTAAGACCTACAAAAAATATATTCTAACAACGTCTAAATTCTTAAGATTAAGAAGGATGACAGATTGCACTGAAAATCTGGTTCAACACTGTCAATGTAAAAGCTGTGCAACATGGTTTTTCATTTTGAAAAGTCTTCATCTTCAGCAAGTTCCCCAGTAAAGAATCATTAATGCACCAGCTACAGTTGTAACCAAATGTCCAATTCTGCAAATGTGTTTCTATCAGGCTACACACACGGTGGTAGAGGGTTTATGTTTGGCTATTACTTCCTTAGATTTCCTAACAGCCTTGAGACCACATAGAGAAAAGCTTCCCTCTCCTACTGGTCCAAGCCTGATGATATCTCCAGCTCTGCCTGCTCAGAACGAAGACGGTACAGAAAGCTGACAGTGTTCTCTCTTTCGCACATCTACGCAATAAAGGCTAGGTAAAGACTAAGAACTAAACAAAATTAAACTTTTTAGTGCTATCTGACCTAGTGGGAGTAACTCTGATCCCACAGATTCATTTACACCCTTGTATCTCCTGTGAAGTCAGCAGAAGTGGTTTTGTCTCACTGAAACAGAGTACTTGCATTCAAGTTTTACTTTTCATGCGTGGTGCATAATTTGCCACTAAAAATTATGATACACACTCGCTGCCCGCAGAGGATCAAAGGTGCTTTTGAGCACACGTATGCTCGACCTCTGAAACACCATGCTGTAATAATGCAAACTAAACCCTGTTAAATTTACAAAGATCTCATCGTCTATGATTTTAATCCATATAGACCTAGTACAAACCAGTTACTGCACAGTATCCTAACACAGACAATGGTAACTAGAAAGATGCTTGCATAGCAAATCTTCTTCAAATTTCTCCTATGGAACATATGAAGTTGACCTCCCATACAGATTTCAAACATGAGAGTGCAAAGTAGTGCTTAATCCTCACCATCAGCTTCTCTGTATCTCTGTAACTCTGCTCCCCTCTCCCACTTTGCTAACAGTAGAGACCTTTTGGCAAAATAAAGCAGTTATTTCAATCTTACTTTCCAAGCAAGTTAGTGGCACTCATTAAGAGGGAAAACCCCCTAGTCTCTCAGTTAATGCTTTTTTGCTGGAAGAGAAAGAACATCCCAACCCTTGGTTGCCTCTATCAAGTGCCTCTGTCCATGACTTATCCATTCTTCTTGGTCCATATATACCCTTCCACAAAACCAACACTTAAACATACACTGAAGTGTTTCAGCTGGTGAAGTTTCCACCACCTGGTAGTTGTTTTTATGGGTCTTTTTTAGTTTCATTTTTAGCATACTCTGCTTTTTTGCTTGGTTTCCTGTCTCAACATTTTGAAGAGTAAGACGCTTTCGATAACGTTTGACACCAAGACAACTACTTGTCCTTTCTGACAGAACTACTTTCAGGACTTGACCTTTATACTTGTTGATAGTCTTCATGACATTAATTATCTCTGTCGAGTCAACATCAGGATGGTTTAGTACCACAACTGGCTGGTTACGACGAGGGCATTTTATCAACTGATTCGCTCTCAGAGGGACAAGGCGAAGGCGTCTTGCTGTCAACAGATATGACATGTCAGAACTTGAACTGGTTTCTGACTGAGTTCTTGTTTTCCTCTTAGGAAGTTCCTTGAAGCTTGCTTGTTTCACCTTGTTTTTGGGACCTAGTTGACTTCTTGAGTAGGGTTTGCTTTGCTTACTCACATCACTGGTTTTCTGAAAGGGTACACCAGTTTGTTTGTTTTTAACACTTGCCTCTCGCTTTGGTCTTTGCCTGAGTGATATATTTCGGGACTGAGCATTTGGCTCACTCTGATTAGGCAAACATGGCAAATTACTGCTAAGTGTCTCAGAAACACTGACGGGAACTGGGCGAGGCAGAAACATTTCATTGCAATACACAGAAGGAGCTGATGTTTCACTCCCATTTTCTATTCCGTTTGATTTTTGACTGCTAGTAGCATTCAGCACTCTCAGCATTGTCCCTTTGGGGATAAACACTGGAGTAGCAACATGGGAATTTTTAGTCACCCTGCTTTTAGATGTTCTTGCAAATGTAAGCAACTGATCTTTACTGTGTTCTTCACAACTAATCACACTGCTTCCACCGTGCACTTGAGGCAAAGATGCAGACTGTTCCACTTCAGTGGCAGGAACAACCCTCTCACAGCTTGCTGAATTTTCTTGAGGGAAAAGCACCTTTTTACTAGAACCTTGACATCTCAAAGACATGGATTTCACGTTAGATTCAGCAGCAGACATGAGCTGAGCAATCTTTCTACACAGCAATGTTGCTGACTTCTTATTGCACGTTGTGTCATCCCATCTGACACCCTCTGGAACATTTTCAGCCCCAGAGCTAAGAGAAAATACAGACGAAATAACAGGTCCCTCAAAAGAGTTGCCTTTATTTTCCATCTTCTGTAGTTCTAATGATTCCAGAAGAAGATTGTTCTTTTGACTTATGCTTTCAGCTCTCTTTACTTTGCTAAAGCCAAAAGTCGTGTCCTCGCAAGGCGGAGTTTTAGTGACAGGAAAGTTTTTTCCTGCTTCAGAACATGTAACAGATTTTTTATCAAAACTTTTACCAGCTAAATGTATTTCTGTAGAGCTGACTGGCAGACTCCTACATTCTTTGTCATCCCTCTTTAGAGGCAATATATCCTTTTGTTTAAGAACTGCAGAAGAAGAGGAAATTTTGCCCTCCTGAGTGGCTTCTACTGAAATGTTCTTGGAACTTTTCTCTTCAGAAATAGCAGCATATTTTGGAGGGGGTATATCCACACCTTCTTCATAACAATACAAGTCATAATGCAAGTTATTTTTTCTATCTACTTCCCACCTTGACGATTTAACATCACTTTTTTTTTCAGTACTATTCATCACCAGAGACGGAGAACAAAGTTCTATAACACCTGAATGGACATCAATACCTTTCACCAACTGAAAGCATAATTTTGATGCATCTTCCCTCTGTATAGATACAGAGTTACAGTCTGAGAGTGGAGAATCAGAAAAACAAACACATTCAGAATTCTTGTCATATGTACTATCCAAATTAAGCTGGTCACTAATACTGGATAATTTGTCTACATTCACTTCCATGGTTAATAACTCATTTTGAGATACAGAAGATGTTTTTTTTCCTTCTGCAGATCGTTCTGTACCTTGATTCTCAAGTTCCTCTTCAGCACCGTTCACAGGTTTGTAAGTGGCTTCTTTCATAGGAATTAGTTTAAGAACCAGCTGTTGTGCTCCATTCACTATTTTAATCTCTACTATCTGAGCTAAACAGTTAGAAGGAACTACAAGTTCAGATGGTGCAATTACTGTTAAAGGCATCCCAGGTTGTAAAGGCTCCGTTTTTGGAGAATAAACCTCAACTTCAACACTTTGATTCTCACATATGCTTATTTCAGATGGCTCCAATATTGTTTTATCCTGGACTGACGCTGTGTTTACACTACATTCTACATCATGAGATGAACAGACTGTTTTAGTTACTTTATCTGGAAACTCACAAACCATATTTGAAGGCAAATTTGAAAGTTCATTCTGAAAAGGAATTTTATCATATTTCTGCTTTTCAAATAAAGTGCTTTGACTCAGCTTCTTTTGCTTGTGGTTTACGATAGTATTTGACAGCCTTTTTGTGGGTGTTTCATGTACTCTTCTCGTATGTTTTACTATATAGTCATGTCTAACAGCACCATATTCACAGTATTCACACTGATATGGAAAAGTTCCAGTGTGTTTCACCAAATGTCTCTGGAATTCTCCTTTGGTGTAGGATACGTAACTACAGTGGGAACAAATAAATTTAATTTCTTCATGTTGACCTACATGCTTTTTATACTGCAAAGGATCCTTTGTTGAAAATCTACATTTATCACAGTAGTATTTACCTGGCAGGAAGTTTTTAACTTTAAATGTTTTCTGCGTTTTACTTGGGGATTTTTTTTCATGTTTTTCAAAGTCTACAGCATTGGCACCCCCAGGAACAAAATGGAAAGCTGGTGGTGTAATACGACTGCACTTCTTGCAGATGAGATTTTTGTCTTCAGTCCACCCAAGCTTCTTATGCTTTTCTATATCTTGCATTGAAACTTGCTGAACACTTCTGCATTTTATACAGCTTATCAGTGACAACTTATTATTCTCAGCCTCAGTCCCTTGGTAACAGCAGTTCTGGTCATCATCCCCTTTTGATGGGTTTGTTTTATCCTCAGAAGATTGCTTTGGGGATGTAGTTAAGGAATTTTTATCATTAACTTGGCCAGGGTACAATCTTGGTAAAATTTCCCTCATTTTTTTCAACTGCATTTCAGAAGACGTGACTCTACACCAGATTTGTCAAACACAGAAGCAACAGACGGAATGTTTTCTTGATATTAGTCTTGTATATGCTGCTTATCAATCAATCATTCAGGCCAACAATCTGCAGAATATGCACTTTGGAAGAAATGGTGCTCAAGGAACTGCATCCGTATTATATTCCATGTTCTTAATTTTATTCAATCAACTTGCAGCACTAAAGAATAAGAAACAGAAGATTAAGTTAGTTACAATTCACTTATTGAAATACAATGAACTAATAACTGAACTAGTAACTAATTAAAATTAGTGGACTACACCTGAATTACAGAGTGCAAGTCTACTATTAATATACCACTGATTGATTTCTACACATATATCGATTAACTCTAAGCAAAACATACCCAATCAAATAATCCTTTAAGTTTGCTCTTACTCAAAATGTTCATAAATTCATAAAAGTATCTGCTATGCATCAAAACTTAGGGAGTTCATGCTATTTCTTCCATGTCATGAAAAATTTTACATTTAAGAAATGTATTTATAAGCCTAACAAGAAAGACACTTAGGAACAGAACTGAGCAAGAGTACGATTTCAGTTCATATGCAGCCCTTAACTCAGGAAAAGATATTATGAAACACTGCAGATGCCACTCATTTGTGAATCCCAGCAGGAAAAAGGAGATGACTACAATGGTTACTAGAAACACACAACTATGAGTTGTTTTTAAATATAAGGATTTTTAAGTTAACATGGAAATTCCTGAGGTACAGAAGGAAGTTCTTTTCTAATCAGCACCAATGTTTCAGATCCAAAGTCTTGAACACTAATTCATAACAAGGTGTGATTTATACTTTACATGTTCTCGAAGTAATGAAGTCAAAACAATCTGTGGCTGCAAAATTAATTACTTTCACTTCTATTAATATCACAGTGTAATCACTTCTATATATGTGGACAAGCACATAAATAATTCACTCCATCCTGATAATACAGAATGTGTCAATCAAGCAAAATAAACAATGCAACAGAAGGCAGAGGGAGAACAGTAATATCAGTGTAAAACCACCACATTAACTTGTGCAGCATATTTGGCCCCACAGGTTCCAGCACTCTTACTCTCTCTTTTCTATATTTAACATTAACACAATCGCAGCCTTTAAGCTTTTTCCAAGACTATGAGACCACTGTTATTTGGAAAATAAACAACTAAATTAGCCTTTTGAGACATACATAAAACAAGATAAAGCCCAAAGCTAACAGCAACAAGTAAAATCTACTCAATATCTTTCTTATTCAAACATTCCTACTTACAGACATACTGTTGTATAAATTTGCATTCATGTATAGACCCTATTTCATGAGGTTATTTCTAGATTCCTTTAGATTTCAATACATCCTACAGAAGGCTTCTGCTTCTGAAATCCAGTTCCTTTCCAAGTCTATCTACAAGAGCAGGGCCTGATTTGGGCTCCAAAAGCACAGCACTGAGACCACCTAAGTAGCATCGTATTACAATAATCCTACACAAACGAGGAAAACTTTACACTGTGGTACATCTCCACAATGGCTTGACAGGAGTAAGCATCTGATCCAGAAAGTTTTTCTTGCATCTCCCTGTGCTCCATCTGCCAATATCCCTGACTGCTATAGGAATGCTGCCCTAAAGATGGGGCTCTGCAAAGACCAAGTATACTGATGTAACCTCAAACAGCAGTAAAAATAAGTTAGAAAACTGGTAAGGGACAACAAGACTTTTCACTCTTTAGCAGATGAATGGTGGCACACCTGTAAAACTCCTCAGTAGGTAGTTCTTAGGACTGTAGTAATCTCGTCTCATTGCAATGCAGACAGCTGTACATCCCTATGTCAAAAACTTCTATATCCCGATGTGAAAAACAAATCAATGGCAGCCTCCCAGGAAGGAGGAAAGTATACATGACTACTGTATCATGATCTGAAGATTTTTTTTTTTTTAAGCAATTCTAGTGTTGGTAACATTATGCCCTCTATTATCCAGATTCTAAAGAGGAAAGAAAAACACATGTTTCTGCTAATCTCAGATGGACCATTCTTCCCCTGCTAATATCACTTCTTAGACTGAAGATGATTCTTGTTGACACACAAGTGTGATGGTAGGCCTATGTTCAGGAGATCCACTGTTTTATTTCAGGAGAAAGATAATAAGAGATGTTGATAAGCTCAAGATCCAGACCAAAGATGCTTTGAAGATTTCTATACAGCTTTAAGAAAGAACTAAAATTGCATTTTAAAGGAAAGGGTGACATTAGATCAATATTTGCCTTTTTTGCTTTCAACAGCTATCAATTGATACTGAAACTGCACTCCATATTAACTGGCCAAAAGATAAGCACAGAGCACTTTATGCCATCAACATCCTTGACCACAAAAACCAGTACTGAAGATGTGGAGAGTTTTCTTATATTTTTTAACACTGTAAACTTCACCTTATGGGACAACATGAAAAAGGATCCACCACTTCTACAAAGCAAGAAAGTACAAAAAACACTAACACTTGAAGAACACGTCAATTTACCAGACAGATCTGGGTTGCTCAGTCCAAGAGGTCACTAGAAAAATTTAACAGAGGTAATTCAAAGAACAGCTTAGTAATCTTTCTAAACTTTCCTAATTCCAATGGCTTTATATATGAAAGTGAAAACAAGTAGGTATATAACCACAAAACCAAGTTTTCATTCAGACCTGTGACAAATACAACATTACTAGAATCCAGATTTCGAATGTTGTTGGAGTTACTGCCACTGTGTTTCAGATGTGTGGTGGGTTGATCCTAGCCAGCAGTCAATGAGCCACACAGCCGCTCACTGGCTCCCCACCCCTCCCTAAGTAGGAAGGGAAGTGAACTGGAGAAAACGAGCAAAGCTTATGGTCCAGACACAGGCAGTTTAATAGGTGAAGGAAAGAGACAGGGAGGTGATGCAAAGGAAATCACTCACCACCTTCCACAAGCAGACCGATGCCTGGCCAGTCTCTGAGCAACAGCCACCTTAGAAACCAACTCCCCTCTCCCCTTCTTCTTCCTCTACTTCCGGTTTTCATTGCTGAGCATGACATTATATGGTATGGACTATCCCCCTGACCAATTCTGGTCAGCTGTCCAGGCAGTGTGCCTTCCCAATCTCTTGCCCACCCCATGTCTACTCACTGCAGCAAAGGCAGAGAAGGGGGAAAAGGAAAACCTTGAATTGTGCAAACACTGTTCAGCAACAGGCAAAACACTGCTGTGTTATCAACACTGTTTCAGCCACAGATTCAAAACGCAGCAAGGTACAGGCTGCTATGAAGAAATTTAACTCCATCTCAGCCAGACCCAGTACAAGGTGGAAAAGAACTGTATAACCACATGACACTGAAGCGACACCACTGTCTCCCTAGCTATTTTTTCAACAATCTCCTAAATGCTGAATAGTTAACAAAAGTTTTGATGCAAACAGTTCCACTTTATCATTATTCTGGATAAAACAAACTCAAAAGTACCTTGTAATTTCATTCTTGTATTAAAAAACAAATTATTTGCTTTTTCTGGTTACTTCAGAAAAATGAGACCATCAACATACACAGAGAGGCGGTGCAATCCAGCATCCATTCACTCCGTATGAGTGGAGCGGGGGGAGGATTCCCTCGAAGATTGGGTTTCATATTGAAAGGGTTAGCAGAGACATACTGCAGAAGATTTAACTAAAAGATACATACTCAATTTTTCAAGTTACGAACAAATGCAGAGCGCACAGATGTGGTAGTGCATCCCCCCCCACCACCACCTTTTTTTCTCTTCAACTGCTTTACAACCTCAAGGATTCCTGCCAGACCACGATCTTGTGTAGTGAGTTGGTCGGTTAGGTGCCCCTTAATTGTACCAGAAACTCCTACATGGCTGAAGCAGAGAGTGAGAACAATCAAGTTACCCCTGACAGCTTTGAAACAGAGCAGTAATTACCAACCCAGATTGTGGCTCGGATGGAGATTTACTATGACTAAAGCCAATCATCTCACAATCCTATAAAACAGCAGTCCTAAGTGAGGCCCGTTGAGCTCTCCTGGACTGCAGCGGGCTGCACCAGCACCTCCCTCTGAGCAGGACTCCTCTGAGAGCTAGCAAACTCTTGAAGTTTGCTAAAATCAGAGGTCCATTGCCAAAGACAGACAGTGGAGCCTGGGCTGAAACCCTTCACTCCTTGAGGCTCAACCCTCGCCCGTTGAGAAATGCCAAGACATTAGACGTGAATATTTCACTGAACTTGAGGGGAATTTTTAACAGGTATACCATTTATATATATATGTATTCATGTTTGTGTGTATGCACGTGCGAATCAGTTTAAGTAGTCTGTAGATGTACGATTTAATTTCAAAGTGAGTGTTATACTGCTGCATTATCCTTATTCCTATAAACCACTGACCAAGTCTGAGAGTAAGACTGGACGCAGCCGCACCTAGACTCCTCCCTGAAAAGCAGTTTAGAAAGCAAGGGGGTCTATTCTGAACCTCGTGACTCAACGGGAGGGTCCCCCTTATCCCCTGCACCCACGATCCTTCTGTGAATCATTCCAACTCAGTGTAACGTAATTTTCCTTTATGCACTTCCATGTAGTAATAGAGTGAACCTTGCCATCTTCAAATCTGTAACTGAGTCATTGTTTTGATCAATTTTTGTCTAATCACTTTGTTAATCACTGATGACTGAGTGCTATTAAAATACTACAATCAAATCCTGTGAAGTAATTTCTAAACTGCTACTAAATCAAACTGTGTAAAGTCACTCATTCACAATAAATTAACATAATCAGCATGATTCACAAACCTGTATTCATGACAGCAGACCAATCCAAAGATAACGTTAAAGGAAGACCTGAAAGTCTATATGGAGTCTGAGTGACAAACACAAGAACAGGACAGATGAAGAATGGAAGTACTGCGAGTCTTAAAATCAATTCCAGTCACTGTCTTTACAGGAATGGATTCAGAAAAAGTTTGTGAAAATACTTTGAAATACAATAAGGTACCTGAATTAGAGGAAATTCAACAAATTTAGAGGCCTTATTAGTTCTGAAAAAAAACGGAAGCAAAAACTTAGAGGCACACAGAAAAAGGACAACAGAAGGAAGATAAACCAAACTTTCTCATTCACTCCTACCAAACACCTGCAATTCAGTGATATTAAACAGTGGGGCAT